GAAAATACTACAGGTTTTCTACCAATACAAAGCTTAATGCTAAATCCTGAAGTATCCCTTTAACAGTCTTTTCATTATTCCAAATCACTAAACCATCCTGCATGATCTGCATAATTTATCAATTCATAAACATACACGTTCAAAAACATGTTTGATGTTTTTACAAGTTTGTGTATGATACAGAATAAGTTAATTAAGTTTATAATCAATCATGCATTTTGCATTTAACAATAACAGCAACAATAACAGCATCAGCAGAAGGAAGGCATTGTTGCTTGAGGAAACAGTGACTAAGTTTTGTCTGATTGAGAACCCATTAAAAATGATATAGGCATTGGCATGAGCTAGCAAGAGAAAGCAGTGAGATTGTTCATGCCGTGCAAATCCGACCAAATGCAACAATGAGTTGGCTAATGGAGGACATTTTTAGATGATTTTAGTCAAAATGGCTGAAAAATCATTAATACAGTCACTACCATATTGTTCCGAATATAAGACAATGTTTTTTCTTAGAAATACATCTGAAAAAAAAAAACGGTTTTGTCTTATTTTCAGGGTCTAGACTTTTACATTTCAAAAATACACCCGCAACAATAGGCAATGCCAAATAGGCTACGCATGAAACGAGTGTGCCAAGAAATACGGTGTGTCAGAGTGTAACGTTAGAAGATCGCGAGCATAAAAAGACAATCTTAAAAACGCAAACAGTCAAAGAAAAGCTAACCGTTCAAGAGCTGCGTGACTATCATGTTCGCATGTCTCGCTGACGGGACCAAACGTCCCCCGTACGTGATTTTAAAATGTAAGACGGTACCCAGATTTCACTTCTACTGTTAATGAAATTTTGCTAGGCAACATGGTTTTCACTATGAGATGGATAGCCTAATTGTTATATAATTCAGATGTGCTAAAGTTTATTTTGGTATGATAAAAAGTGTTTATTCTTAAATGCTCCACTCCTCATCTCCAACAAGGACCATCAGGCATTCGGCCTCGCCAGGGTCCCTCCGACCTTCTGCTCCACCTGGGTCGGACATCGCACCACTTTCGCAACGGACCTGCGGGACTTTGTTTTCATTTGCATCGTTTCTCCTTGTCTTGTTTGCTGTCATGGTCACAGATTTGATTTCATCATTCAGTTCAGGTGTGTGTGTGTCTAATCATCCTTGTTTGTATTTTAATTCCTTTGTTTCTGTTCATTGTTGTCGGGTCTTGTATATGTTGGACATGTGTTTCGCTACTCCTGTGGATTTATTAAAGACTGCCTAATTACTTCTATGTAAAGCACTTTAAATTACCATTGTGTATGAAATGTGCTATATAAAAAAACTTGCCTTGCCTAATTATCTTCATCTTCGTAAGTATTATACCAGGACAATCCGTGACAGTAACGCAGCAACAGGAAAGAAGATACAGCAAACATTGCATGCATGAGACCATGTTTTATATGAAAATGAGTCATTTTACAAGACAATTTTCTTCCATTTCCTTACAAAGTGATTTAATTTGTTACAGTAACACATGTTCTAACTAGGTAAGTTTGAGCCTTATTGGCTCAGGCACACATACTATAACTGGTTCAGGCCAATGGTTAAACAAACCTAAGGTTATGGCACTCAGGTACACACTGCTCACTTGTAAGTCACTAGTTAAATATCTTTGGGCTTTGCTTAAGCACAGCTTCTAGGTTTTAAGCAATTCAGCAAAGCAGGCCCGAACACAGGGATCTTGGCGATAGATCTGCTGTAGTGTCCTGTTGTCTTTCTGATCTGTCTGTTGAGAGGATTTATATATTTTACATAAAGCAGCATGATTGCATATCGGCTTGTATTTGTATCATCTCCTTTGTTTTTTCGTCTTGTTGAGGAATTTGTGTGCCTATTCATGCAGCAGCAGGACCATATCTGTGTAGCAAGTCAATACTCTAGTCCACCAAGACCAAATACATTATCATATTCATTCAAATGATTTAGCCTGTTAAGCTTCAAGCCCATTTTTGAAAAATCCCCAGATATGGCATTCCCAAACTGAAACAGATACAGTTCATGAACCCTTTGTACTAAAAGCACAAGTAAGATCTCATTTGAAAGCTGACACCTGGAAGTTTATTGTAAATGTAGAATTAATTATTGTCATAATGAAAAAAAATAGTTATAAATAGCTTCAAAGTTTTGTAAAGTTATTATACATTTATTTTTATGAAACATCTTCATGAAAATAAAATTGAAGTTGGCATTGTAGCAATCTAGAAATGCACTGCAGCTAAAGCCACATGTCTAACCATGTTATATTTAAAATCTGAAGATGATAAGTCTAAAACTCTGTATTTAGTTCAATGTTTTTCAAGATCATGTCATATGACTTTATTTTGATTAGACTGGTGTTTATTGTCATCTTATAAGCATCTATTCAGTCTATTGCCTCTATTGTTTTGTGATGCAAAAACGAGTCCCATTCAGTCTCAGGCTCCCCTGCACATATTCACACCTCTCCAGCCTGTTTATTGCTCTAAATATGCTTTTCTTTTGTCTGCATTATAATCACTAACGACTAGCAATTCACACTGTTTCAATCCCTCATTTATTTTATAAAAGTTCTCACTTCACAGTGAAACTGTATCAAATGGCCTTTTTGAAAAACGAAACATTTCAGTAAGCATTCTTATTTAGAAAAAAAATCATAAAAATTACATCGAAGTTAGGTAGCAGGTGCTCAGTACTAGCTAGCATGTTAGCTTAGCACACCATCAATACACGACAATTTATGAGAATAAAACTATGTTTGTGCTCCAACTTACTTTATAGCGCAAGTCGAGTGTTTTGAATAACTTTCTGTAATCTGATTTGGCTTCAGATAAAAAAATCAGATAGAAAATATATTATTTTATTGTATTCTGCACAATTTGAAAGTCTATCTCGATTAGCATTACATTATACATATAATCTATTATTATGAAAATACCTGACATGACTCGAAGAACACAGGTAAATCAAATATCATTGCAATCATGTTTATTGTCTTCAAAACATCTTTATCTGCACTTTACAGCGATCTCGGATAGCTTTGTTTATGTGTCAGGACTTCCTGAATGTCACATGATTATGGCTCTTCTTCATGTGATCCATATATGGACTTTACTGTGCAAACAGCGCCCTCAGACTTCAGTATGAATGGATAACACAACTGTACATCAGAGTATACAGCGCTCAAAATGATTACATCGACGCATTTGGGTATAAATTCAATAAATATTATTCCTGTCTATAGAAGTCTGATGTAAACCTATGAGAATCTATCAATATTTCTCCAAATCTGCACATGTTTGAGCTAAAAGCCCTGAGGGACGTTGTTTTGTGAATCGCTGTCATGACGATCGCACGGGAGTTTTTTTCTGAATGAGAGCAGCTGACGCTCATAATTCATATTAAAGGTAACGACTCATTTTTGTATTTCATAACTCCTGACACAAATTAAGACATAACTGTCACTATAAGTTTCACAGAATACAATAGTGGTCAAATACTGAAACTTGAGTCTTATATCGTTTTAATGATGTATAGTTTGTCAAGTTAGTCACATTAAATATGATAGTAACTTTGAACTATTTAAAAAAAAAACGCTTCAGAGCGCCCACGCACTGGTGACGGTTAACAGGTTAAAGAGTTGTCATGATTGAAATATACATTAGGGATGCACAATATATCGGCCACCATATCGCTATTGCCCAATATGGAGAATGTCTGTTTGCATCACTGTAGCTTGGTTCTGATTTTTCCAGCAAGAGCAGGCGCCGCCATTTTTTAAATATAATGTGTTAGATTTCCGGTAAGCCACTTCCTCTAATCGTAGCTTTGCATCGACTGTGTAGTTTTGACTGGCTAGCTACTTTTTAACATGGACTACAGACAGACTGGCGTCCTTTGCACAGTTAGGGTGTGCCATAATAGCTGGTTCAAGCGTAAAAAATACATGCAATATATTTTTTTTACCGTAATCCACGCACCAGAACTGAATGTGGACGTGGGGCACCCTATGATCTGCATGTTGCAAGAAGCTCGTTGGCTTTGGTCAAAAGCATTATTGTAATGTGTGAACACGCTGGCAATGCGAGTTGCTTGTTATTTTTATGTTTTAGTCAAATGGTTAAGTGTATCTGTTGCATTAACCATTCAATCACCATTTTAACTTTGCACGCACATGCTTAATGTGTGACACGATGTTAAAATTACGTTAAGGTTCTAAATGCAGCAGTAGTTTATGCATTTCTCTTGTGTGTATTTGAGTGACACAGTTGTGAGAAACCACCAAAATTTCCATACGTTTGCTCTTTCTACTTCGTTAATGGCAGACCCAGGGAAGATCATCCCTTTAATATTAGGTCACTTCTTTACAATAGAAATGTTACAGCCACTAATTTCTTGAACAATAACATGTGGACATCAAAACACGCACACTCATGAGGGTTTCAACTTTTATTTTGAAGTCGCGATGAATGAACAATTTGCATATATAGAAACATATTGATGTATTCTCCTGTGTTGGCATAGGTTTATAGATTATTTACGTTACAAATCTGGTGAAATGGCGCACATTGCGTTCCCATATGAACGTCATAAGCAACCCAAACTCACAGCATATGCAGAGATGGCATTGGTTAAACGAGCTGCTGAGACGCGCATCGAAGACCCGTCTACTCCGAGTCACAACACAAAATAATTGAAAATATTCTCATAAGATGTCAGGCCACTTTTTCATTTCATCCCGTGTGATAAATATTAACCGACGGTGTTTAATAGTGTTTTGTGAGTGCTCCCATAACATGGCTTCTTACCTACCAGCTAGCGAAACGGATGTCTAACACATTAAAAGGAAGTACGTCATCGTATTTACTTCCACGTTGCAAAATAAGGTGGATACAGGTTTGAAAGTTAAGCCAAATAAATTATTTGTATAACTAAAGCAGATCAAGCAATGTGTTAAGCTTACGCATTGGCACTTACAGGAGGAATGGCTGCTGGGAAAACTCTTCCGACCCTCAGACACTAGGTCTGGCTCTCCAGTACACAGCATCTTGGCATTCATTTGACCATCAGGGAAACAGCGGTGGAAGTAGTCTGGCCTTGGCCTGAGATCAAGATCAACATCAGAGATCTCAGCCAATGGTAAGAGCATGATTATAAATAAAAGCACAAATATCATAATAAAGGGGTGCAAAACTCAGTTCCTGGAGGGCCACAGCCCTGCAGAGTTCAACTCACATACCAGGTTGTACAGCGGTCATGTGATAGAAGTTGTAACTCTCAGAAAATTACCAGTTTACAAGCTGTAATTAAAAGTTCTACAAGGATGTGAATGCTTTATACAAGCAAGAATCTCGAAATTATGGTAATTACGACATGCCATGAAAGCACCTCAACTCTGCAGGGCCGTGGCCCTCCAGGAATTGAGTTTTGCACCCCTGTCCTAATAGACCTTTAAATACAACAGAGGTCTTCAACCCTGCTCATGGGGACCCACTGTTCCACAGAGTTTAGCTCCAAACTCACCTGAACCAGCTAAACAAGTTCTTCAGGATTGTTTGAATCACTGTATTTATTTAAGTGGAACTCAGGTGTTCAAACCTCTGAGCTACATTATAAACACCACTTATATGTATAAAATTTTGCAATTATCCAGAAAATATGTATATTTTTATGATATTCTGTTCTAGGTCTACTGGCCATCCAGCCAGAGTGTTTCCCTGCCTATAGCCCAAGACGCTAGGGGAGCTTCCACCATCCTTCAGCAATAGAACACCTCAGTGTGACCTTGCTTCCCTGAGAAGGGAATTAGATGGTTGATCAGTAGCTGGTGCTATGGGGAACACCCTCCATGTGTGATGGTTATCTGAAGCCTGTATAGAATCACGCCAATGTATGGCTAGTTTTAGGGATAGAGTTAAGGTTAGGGCTAGGGTGTGGTTGGACCTTCTAGATTCACTGATTAGGTCCAGACAAGGGGAGCTTTACGTCAAGCTCCACCCATTGTCTCTGTGAGCAGCCTTTCAATTTTAAGCTGATGCACCCCATATTAATGTCATTATCCATGTTTTAATGGGCACTTTCCAATTGATGAATCCGAACATAGTGTTTAAATGAACGCTAAATAAAGTGCTCGGATTGAGGTGTGTTTATCTGTCACAAGCTTCAAATCGGATTTAACCTTTATACATTGACCGAATATAGAGAGTTCCCCGCTGTTGTCGTATACTATCCAACCTCCTTTTCTTTGTTTTAAAAAGCAGACCAATATTTATCTATTTTGGGTCCTATTTTGGGTCCTAATTAGGAGACGACCAGTGCACAAAGCTTTATGCAATGATGCTTATATTAATCAAGGAGTAAAAATGCACATTACCACACCCAAAACAAGGTGGCTGCAGATGAGAGTCCGAAGCAAGCACTTGTGGGACAACGTTATTCTGCACCACTTCACAGGCGATGAGTGGACAGAGAATTGTAGATTCAATTTCAATCTGTTTTTATTCCGATTGAGGTCTTTACATGGAGCATTTTCATTCAGTTTGGACTTTTAAACCAATTGAAATTGGAATTCAATGCACCATGTAAATGCACCTATATACGTCACCTATGTCTCAACAAGACATGCTCGTGCCATCACCCCTCAGATCTCCAACGAAGGAAGCAAAAACAGGACAGAGGTTCACTGATATTATCAGACACGAAACTGATATTATCCTCCAAGGAAGCCCCTCTAAATACTTTGGAAGAAGTTACACTCCTAGTAGAGTTTGCATGAATGCCCAGTGGCAAAATCAATTAATGAGCCCCATAAGCTGCAGAAATAGCATTTTCTAACACTCCATGAGGCTGACTCCAACAGTTACAACTGAGAGTCCATCAATCCTTGCAGGACCACGGGCAAATCCCATGAAGGAATACGTGCAGGCCTTATCCATATCCCACACAAGTGGGAAACCAAAGAATGTTTTCAATGAACCAATAGGGCAGTGGACTGGGTCCAACTCCCACTCCCTGCACCACAACACAAAGAGCCGTGACTTATAAGAACAAAGACGCTTCATAGAGGAAGCTCTAGAATTCAAAATGGTTTCAGTTATCTCAGAAGAAATGCCAGAACCAATCAGAGTGCTCCGTGCAGAGGCCAGAACCAAAAGGTCAAACAGATACAGCTTTGCCTTTTCAAACCTCTGCTTACTTACTCACACTTACTACTTGAGGGTGTAACCTCGACTTAAGGTCCTCAAACTGTGCCTTAAATAGTTTTGTCGGGTTTTGTCAGATCAGTGTGTTACTGATTTTGCAGATAGTTTGCTTCTGATTATAAACATTAGGACTTGTAAAGTACTTGCTCTGCTTTTTGATTTGATTTTGTTCCATTTGCAATCAGGGTGTGACAATTGGTCACTGTGGTATTTGTCCTGCCAGGTATTAAAAACAATTGAACAAATATTCTGGCCTTAGGAAAAAACGCTTTGGTGGAGACACACCCCAAGTCTGCTCCCAGCTTCAGCCGATCTGGAACTTGAACCCCCCTGACAGACAGAAACTTGTTTTATGCCCAGAGTAGAACGTGCCTCGCTAACTTTTACAGGGAGTGAGAATGCATTCCCCCTTGCTGATTCAGATAAGAGTTCACGGACATGTTGTCCATTCTGATCAACATGGGGCAGTCCGACAGTCCAGAAGGATTGTTTTCAATGTCAGAAAAACCACCAACAGAGATGGGCGCCATCTCAGACTCAGTAGGCCAGACGGCCTTGATAGACCATGTCCCAACCTACCAAAAAGGTATCTGTCTTGATTGTCTTGCGATCACAGACCGCACCTAGCCAGACATCCTGCGTCAAAAACCAGGGTCGTGTTCAAAGTTATAGAGTACAAAATCCCTTGCAATAACTCGGAATAACTGGTGAGAATGCCAACTTGGGGTTACCCAAGTGAATTGTTGATCCAGCACTGAAACAGTTTCATTTGGAGCTGGCCTAGCAGAATTAAGAAAATATCAGCTGTAAAAGCCAGACTCTACCTGGGAAGGAGGCACTTCCTCTATGGTTCCTTTCTCCAAAAGAGAAAGTATTTCCTGAAGATACATTAGGCATAAGTCACAGAATGTACTTCTTTCCTCAGAAAGAAGGTTAGTTGACAGTCAGATAGGCAGTTGAGTGCTGCTTGAGCAAGTACTTCACACACACAAACATCGTATGTGTCATCATTTGTAATGAAACGCTCAAAGAAGGTTGTCTGAAAATTATTCTCTAAGGTGAGATAGGAAGATAACGACTCACTACACCGGTCAGATCAACCACTTCCAGAAGAAAAGAAATCTGAGGAGTGATGTCGCGAGTATGTCCTTGTGAGATACAGGTGATGTGTACCTCGATGGGTGGTGCAAGCACCATCAGCCAGTAAATTGCTGTGATTCTGGACAATCGTAATACCTGAAGGGTGTTCCACATAGCATCAGCTACTGACACAGCACTGATACGAAACATGAGAAGTCCACCATTGTTTCCTAACTGTGCCAATCTATATAACATTTGCTTGCATTCTGCACCCCTGTGTCTGTCTTTGTTCACCCCAAAATGTCAAAATGTATCACCTGGCCTTGTTTACTTCCATTGTAAGTGTCTTACAATAGCTGTGATTTTTTTTGTTTGTTTTATTTTGTAAAGAATACTTAAAGATGATTCTAAAATCCTTTCAGTGATTCTAGTTTTTAATCATCCCAGAACATTCCTTTAAAGTGGTATACAATTCTTATGGAAATGATACAGAAATCAAGTTTTTACATTACCTGCCAACTATCAACTTGATGGTATTTGTGAAGACGCCGTTCAAAGCTAGTGCGAGAGATACCGCTGCAAAATAGAGAAAACAAGAGACAGGCAGATTAATAATGAATCTGTTAGACAGCATTCACAGTTAAGTGACCTTTCTAATCTGATATCAGCCTTAAACAATCCACTATATTATGTCCTAAACAGCAACAGTTGTCTTCATGATTGATGCCTGTTAAATACTAGATTTACATTTACATTTAACCATTTAGCAGATGCTTTTGTCCAAAGTGACTTACAAATAAGAACAATAGAAGCAGTTAAATCAACAAAATAGTAACAATATGTAAGTGCTGTGACAAGTCCCAGTTAGTCTAGCACAGTACACAGTTTATATGTATATGTATATAAAGATCATTGTTGACTACAGTGCAGGATTTCTTTGTCGTAGGTTTCAACTGAAATTTCTTGTTAACTGTAAAACCTTTTCAGGTAACTTTTTAAGATGGAAGCTTGTTTCTGCCATTGAATAAAAAATAAAAAAGGTAATTGTGATTATTTATCTCACAAATCGGACTCAGAATTGCATGATATAAACTTGCAATTGCAAGTTATAAAGTCAGAATTGCGTGATATAAGGTTGCAATTGTGTGTTATTAAAAAAATAATCGCTTCAGATTTGGACATTATAACTAGCAATTGCGATACCACGCAAATCTTCTTTTCTCAGAATTGTGAGCAATTGCTCAAAAAAATCAGAATTGTGAAATAAAAAGTCCCAATTACCTTTTTTTTAATCCAGTGGCAAAGACAAGCTTCCATACATTTATCACACTGATTGAATAGAATCATCTTGTACCATATTGATATAAAGATACAAAGAGAAATTTATTTTTTATTTTTTTATCAACAACATGAAGTGCATTAAACATTACATTCCATCAGGGTTTCCCAAACTGTGGTTTGTGAAGGAACTCAGTGGACATTTACTTTCAATTCTGAAATAGGAAATGCTCACTGAAACTGTATTTTTGACAGAGAGTGAAAATGGGAATGGAAAATCCAACACATTCTCATCCTTTGGCGTCATATAGGTGACGCCATATGACATTTCGTCGAAATCTTACGCACATGGCATCCTTTAGCGTCAATATAACACGCACTGTTATGGGTAGGTTTAGGTCTGGGGTAGGGTACGGTTATGACGCCTTGGGATCTGCGTCTCATATTGACCCTAAAGGATGCCATGTGCGTCGGTTTTCGACGAAATGTCAAAAGCGTCACATGTATGACGCCTTGGGATGAGAACGGGCTGGGAAAATCATAATTTTTACAAATTTTTCAACTGCCCTTTAGAAGGAATTCGTCATAATAGAGACGCTGTGGGGTCGTCTCTGCACGATTGCGTCCTGAAGCAAATGCCAGCAGGCGCTTTGTGTTGAACTGTCCTTGTCTATTTATTGTTGTCTGTTCAAGCACTATATCACATCATTCAGAAAGGAGTTATGGTGAACAAACAACAGTTTAAATGGGTTTTTTGTTTGGGAGCGGAGCATGCACGGTCAGCTCTCGAGGGGATTGTGAACGGCTCTTGCTGCGTCCGCTCGAGGAGAGCGCCTAAGCTTGTCGTCCTCACGGTTCGGGTCCAGCTGTTGCCAAGGCATCGTGGGGATCGCAAATGGATCTAGTGGAGGGGTTTGAGACAGGACCAGCCTTTTCTCTGCCCTCAACCACTGGATGTATGATGCGCTGCCTAAAGTGGGACGGACGCTCAAGAACTATCTGTCTTCTAATACGGCATCGTCCCTCAACGCCCCGAGATTACCCAGCAAGCCATGTAGAACAACTTCGGCTTCGGTGGGTATAAGGCTTACATTGCAGCAGGTCAGGCCGGTGCGTGTCTACATAACATGACGCTTTTGTAGGCGTACCAGGCTGATCTGTTTCGAGATGTTTCGATCATATTTGTTTGAAACCTTTAACTTGCATTTTCTTGTCTTAACTGCTGCACTTAGGTTTATAAATGGAATGTGATTGAGTTGTTTATATGTGTGTATGTATTGCAGCATCACTAATTTCATTGTATCCCGATGCGATGACAATTTAGGCTATTTCTAATTCTTTAGCATCAACACCTATTGCAGGGAACCGGGTTACATATGTAACCATAAGACATTTTTATTTGTATCTTTTTTCTCTGAAATGTGTCACTTTGGTTTTCAGTGGCATTGCATAGGTTGTAATTTTTACATTAAACTGTAATTTTTACATTAAACGTGAAAACTAAAAGTAGTAAAACGTGTAGGCTAGTAAAAAGGAGGGGTGATCAGTGGGAGAGAGCACTATATGTTTCTATACATAAAGTTGATTAGCCCATTCATCCTCTTTCGTTAACTGGTCATGAATAGACAAGCCATAACTCAAAAGCTTTAAGCATTAATAAAAGAAATATTAAACTATATTAGGCCTAAAGGCCTAAATAATCCTTTACCCGATATAACCAGCAGTTCCTGTGGTGGTATCCACACACACAGCCACACAGTCCATTGAAATTAACTGTGGGAAAAAAATATTCTGAGAAGCTTCCTGTGCTATACTTTACCATCCCAATTTTACTTCTGCTGTCTATATCTCTACTCATTAAAAAGTCTGTTCATCTGCTTGAAGCAAAAAATGTTGAAGGGATGAAGGTTATGTTAAAGCACTGTGCAGTTCAGACTCGAATCAAAGCATAAAATGTGTATTGCACTGACATAACCAGGTCTAACCAAGACCAATGAGCCATTTGATAACGTTGAACGTTTTATGATTCTTAATGCTGACTTGATTATTTATTTCCAAAAATGTAGAAGCATTAAAAGCCAAATTTAAAAAATAATGTTATTATAATAACTGTTTTTATTTATTAACTTGTAGGCTTTGCATTATGATATGGCACTAATGCAAATTTGGTACAAGTGTATTGTCAACTAGAATATTAACATATAGATAACATTAGTGTCACGAATACACAAGCATCAGCACCAGACCTGTTTACTCCGCCCACTCGTTCGTCATCCCCAGAATACTAATCACCGTCACCTGTCTTCCTCACCTGATGCCACTCAGTATTCACTTACCTTCACCTTTATAAACTGCACCAGTTCCCTCAGTACACCGTCTGGTCCCGTCGACTAAACCTTGACGTCCTGACTCCAGCTTCTACTTTGAAGATTCTCACCTACCTGAAAACTCACCAGTTCCGTGAAGATTCCCGCCTGCATTCTATTCCGTTTGCCTTCTCCGTCTGATCGGCGTCCTTCGTCCAAGTTCGCCACCCACTCATCTGCAACAGATAAGAGACTCTGTCAATCCAGTTCCTGACGAACTTTTCAGTCTGATATCTCTAAATGCTTACCTGCTGATTGTTTTAAGAGGCTAATAAATACTTCACTTGCACGAGACCTGTTTGTTTCCTCTCAATCTGTGACAGAAGACCAGACCAACGATGCAAGAGAACGCGGAGGGCGGCGAAGAAAGCCCTTCGCTTCAACATCCAGCTGCAGCGGTCCGGCAAGATTTTCAACATCCACTCGTCACTCAATCAGTCACATCTGCCTCTGTCAATCCCATGGCCCGACCCGCATCTTTCTCTGGTGAGGAGGGGGAGTGCAGCGGTTTTTTACTTCAGTGTGAACTGTATATGGAGATGCAAGCTACTCAGTTTCCCACTGAGCGAGTGAAAATCGCTTTCATTATCTCACTACTCACCGGACGCGCTCTTCTCTGGGCTCGAGCGCTTTGGGATGCCAAGGGAACGGTAACACAATCTCTCTCAAGTTTCATTACCCATTTCCGAGAAGTTTTCTCTCATGCTACTAATGCATTGTCTATTCATGACCAGTTATTTCGATTGCGGCAAGGAAAATCATCTGTTTCTGAGTATGCTTTGCAGTTTCGTACGCTGGCCGCTAATAGTGGATGGAACGAGACAGCGCTCGTCACCGCTTATCGTCAGGGTCTGAACCGAGACATATGTCTGCAACTGGCCATCTATGACGACAACATCGGCATAGAAAACCTCATCCAGCGTTCCATACGCATTGCTCAGCGCAGCACTGCCTGCCTATTTGACCGCCCTGCACCTCCTCCTCATCCGATACCGCCAGATAGCCTTCCAGTACCAGAACCTATGGAAGTGGATTCGACTCATTTAAGTCCCGTGGCTGGAACTCCATTCCCCAAACATCTGCTGGTCCTCAGGTGAAATTTGTCAATGGGGAGAAACCTGCTTTTCTCAGTGTCTGCTACCCATCAAAAGGGTACCGTCTGCTTCTTCCTCCGAATTCCAAGTGTCCGTCAACTCAACTACTATCGAAAGTCCAGCCACCGACACCAAACCTGAGATCCCACTTCAATACCGGGCGTTCCAGGATGTGTTCGACAAACAGCTGGCGACGAAACTCCCACCTCATCGGCCATGGGACTGTGCGATCGACCTGCTGCCTGGGGCTGTGTGGCCGCGCGGAAAGATCTACCCACTGTCCATCCCGGAACAGAAGGCCATGGAGGAGTATATCGAGGAGGCTCTTCGCCAAGATTACATACGACCTTCCACCTACCCTGCCGCTTCCAGCTTCTTCTTCGTTGGTAAAAAGGACGGAGGCCTGCGCCCTTGTATTGACTACCGGACACTCAACAACTCTACTGTCAAGTATCGGTATCCCCTTCCTCTGGTTCCATCAGCCCTAGAACAGTTACGTGGTGCTCGGGTATTTTCCAAACTGGACTTAAGAAGCGCATATAATTTGATCAGGATCCGAAAGTGTGATGAATGGAAGACGGCGTTCATCACCCAAGCAGGTCACTATGAGTACAGGGTTATGCCTTTCGGGTTGTCCAACGCTCCCGCCATCTTCCAAGGCTTCATGAACGAAATCTTCAGAGATGTTCTTCACCGTTTTGTCATTGTGTATATTGATGACATTCTGATATATTCCTCCAGTCTACCCGAGCACCACCATCACGTTAAACAGGTATTACAATGTCTTCGTGAGCATCAACTCTTCCTGAAGTTGGAGAAATGCGACTTTCATCAAGAAACCATTCAGTTCCTGGGCTATGTGATTACACCACAAGGGATTACCATGGACCAGAGGAAGGTGGAAGCAGTTTCCAACTGGCCTTTACCATCCACCATCAAGGAACTTCAGCGATTTCTGGGCTTCGCAAACTTCTACCGCCGATTCATCAAAGGTTTCAGCCAGATCAGTTCTCCCATTACCTCAGTGTTACGCAAAGGGGCTAAGTCTCTGTCCTGGACCAACGAAGCTACCATCGCCTTTGAGAAGCTCAAAACATCCTTTTGTACCGCTCCAACTCTTGTTCACCCGAATCCTGATCTTCCTTTTGTCGTCGAGGTGGACGCTTCTACTACGGGAGTAGGAGCGGTGTTGTCTCAGCGGCAGGGGAAGCCTCCCAGACTCCATCCATGTGCCTTCTCCAAGAAACTGTCCCCGGCGGAGCAGAATTACGACATTGGCATTATTGGCATCTATGTACCATCCCGTCTACGTCCGTCTCTCATGGACTCAGTACATACATCTCCGGGCTCTGGACACCCAGGCAGCCAGCAAACCCTCTCGCTCATTCAACAGCGCTACTGGTGGCCCAGTATGACCCAGGATTTCTCCCGATACATCAGAGGATGTTCCATCTGCGCCATGGCCAAGGTACCTCGACGTCTCCCCGAAGGCAAGCTAGTTCCTCTGCCCGTGCCCACTAGACCTTGGTCTCATCTCGGGGTAGACTTTATCTCCGATCTTCCCTCATCGGAGTCCTACACCTGTGTCCTGGTGGTAGTCTATCGATTCTCCAAAGCATGCAAACTGATTCCTCTGCCGGGTTTACCCACAGCCTTCGAAACCGCAGAGGCACTGTTCACCCATATCTTCCGGCATTTTGGCATTCTGGAGGACATCGTTTCAGATCGTGGCCCACAATTCATCTCCCGCGTCTGGAAGTCTGTCACAGATACACAAGCATCAGCACCAGACCTGTTTACTCTGCCCACTCGTTCGTCATCCCCAGAATACTAATCACCGTCACCTGTCTTCCTCACCTGATGCCACTCAGTATTCACTTACCTTCACCTTTATAAACTGCACCAGTTCCCTCAGTACACCGTCTGGTCCCGTCGACTAAACCTTGACGTCCTGACTCCAGCTTCTACTTTGAAGATTCTCACCTACCTGAAAACTCACCAGTTCCGTGAAGATTCCCGCCTGCATTCTATTCCGTTTGCCTTCTCCGTCTGATCGGCGTCCTTCGTCCATGTTCGCCACCCACTCATCTGCAACAGATAAGAGACTCTGTCAATCCAGTTCCTGACGAACTTTTCAGTCTGATATCTTTAAATGCTTACCTGCTGATTGTTTCAAGAGGCTAATAAATACTTCACTTGCACGAGACCTGTTTGTTTCCTCTCAATCTGTGACAATTAGCCTCTAATGACTTGCAAACTCTGATTGTATGGGGTCTTTATTAACTATTAGGGCAGCAATGTTAAATAATTTCCCTGCAAGTCATCAAAAAACGGCTTGACAAGTTTAATGTAACATAAACACCTATTGGACAATCACAGTACCTGTCTGAGGTGTAGGACACAGTTACGGGGTTTCCTCAAAATAACATTAGGTTTCTTTTAGTAATTTACTAATTGGTGCAAGCTGAATAGCTGTCAACACTCTAGTGTGTGAACAAACAGAATGTGCCTATAATTACTGTATACACACACTGCAGTTCTTAAGTGAACTGACTGACCTAGAATTTATGTTACTTTTTACTGTCACTGATTTGTTACTTTTAGTTAACAGTTACATTTAGTTGGACTGTTTTGAACTTTTTTTTCAATGCTTAAGCTTGAGGGGAACAACGTCAAGATTAGAAAGTTGTGAAAGCTCCTCTATGAATGAAACATCATTAGCAGCGAGAGCTTTTATTCTGATTCCCCTCTGTCGAAAACACTTCATTAGAATCTCTGACATGTTTGAATTGAAGGGAAGAAATAACTTGCCTTGATGCATGACCCTCAACACAAGTACTTCACCACCTGAGACTAAATGTTCATTGGCTTTACTGTCACCCATAATGCCGTCTTTTTCAACACTTCACATCTGAAAGATCACATTGTGGTCCTGTTTGTCTTTCCGCAATGAAATCAGTTTTATTTCCTCCTGGCTCTTTTGTAATTGTGCAATTTAAAACAGTCATCTTAGTAGAAAAGCACATGGTCATTTAATTTTTTCTTCTTCTGAAGACTTTTTAATTGGATTTGTACAGCTTTCTTTTAATGGCTTTGACTTCGTTCACTCATTCGCATTTCAACATTCTCAATTCAGTTTGCACTATTCCATAAAGTATCTCTAATATCCATAATCACATGTGTGAAGGCAAGAGAGATTATTATAATACACTGTAAAAAACAAATCCGTTAAATTCACGGTAAAAAAACGGCAGCTGTGGTTGCCAGACATTTACCGTAAAAAATACGTTAGCAACATTTTAGGTTTTACAGACTTAACTTAAATAAAAGTAATCCACGTGACTTTTGTCTTCTGAAGTCATACAATAGCTTTGTGTGAGACGCACACATAGATTTAAGTATTATTCATTAAAAATCTTGCTCTCAAATCACATTCAAAAAGTTATCTCGAACTGCCACAGTCAGTCACATGTGGAGTCAGTGCACTGTAAAAAATAAAATGCCATTTTTACGGTAAAATACCGGCAGCTGTGGTTGCCAGAACTTTACCGTCAAAAATATGGTACAGACGTTATTGGTTTTACAGACTTAACTTAAAATTTACAGTAATAAACCGTATTTCATTCAATTTACGGGTTTTCACTGTAAAATTTAAATTATACAATGAGTTGTTCTTTTTCACCTTCAAAAACTGTAAATTTAACGGTAGTTTACAGTAAAATTACATTAAATGTACCGTTAGATCTATCACAGTTATTTACCGTATATTGTAACTTTTACCGTTAAAATCACAATAATTTTTTACAGTGTGGCATCTGGCATCTCTGACGTCAAACCTGGTTCGGCGTGTGTTGAAGCTGATATTTCAGTGAGATTGAATGAAATTTAAGAGCTACAGTGAAGGAGAGGCTTTCATGACATGCTTTAATGGTGCTCTTTTGGTATTGTAATAGTTTGTGACTGACAGTAAAGATGTCTGAGAATTCATTTGGGTTGAAATTACTTTTCACATTAGAGAGAACAAACCCTTTACGAGAATCCTCTGATTCAAGTAGGTAATGGTAGAGAGGGAATGTTTTTGGCCGTGAAGGATAAACTTCTGTAGAGTAGAAAAGAGTGTGTGGCCCTGCACAAAACAAACAAAACATTGCATTCCCAGGCTGCTCGTTGAGGCTTAAGGCAAACGGTATTAAATGTTAAATGTGTAATGTAAGTCCCATAGTGTTGATTTTTGTATACTCTCTGCAGAATGTGGGATTACCGTGGAGACAAATGGTTGATTAAACTAAGAAACATAGAAACACGGTTTTGATGAACAACTTGAACAACCAAATAAGGCAACAAGGGAGAACATGTGTAAGCATAGCATTTTAGATTCTTTGGGAGTTTGTGGCGTGATAAAAAGACATGGTGTGTGTGTTTCCTGAATTATAGGCCAGAAATCAATTTAAATAGGCCTTTATAAAAAAGCACAGGTTACATGTGGAACATGCAATAAACTAATTATTTGACTGTGACTGGGCAGATTGAGGTCATGAATAGGCATCATGTTTAAGAACCATGTTTGCAGCTTGGCAGAAAGCTTTGAGTCTCATAGTTTCATAGTACGGTACATCAAGTTTTTGTATCGTATGAAGCAAACTTTTCTCATGATATGACTATTATCATGTAAGTAATGTGATTATTGTACGAATGCCTTTCATAAAAGTCCTATCCCTTGTTTTAAAAGGAGCAAATTAATCTAATATTCATTCTCAACAAAATGAGGAATTACTGATGCCAGGCTTGGGAAACAGATATTCACTATGAATATTCATTAAGTAAGAAAGAATGTACCGCCAATCTTTTGTCACAATAGTAACCCCAACCTAACAGAGTTATCAGGACCAAGATGCAAAGCACTTGAGTAAATATAATCAACGTAAGTAAGGGACGGCGTATTACAGGGTAATGGCAACTCACCAAATAAATAATTATGTGTACATGAAATTATCTGACATGTTCCACATGATTTGAGATATATTAAAAAAAAGTTTTATAATCTTGCCTGCATATTGTCTCAAAGTCACCATGAATTAAAAATTGACAATTATAATTTTGTATGGAATATTGCAGTAATTATTATTAATTAATTGATAGATTTATCAGTCCACATAATATTTTTTTTCTTAAATTCATGTGCCCTTGAAATGTTTAATTAAAATAACTTCCTCTGCTTCTTGCAGTGACATCTCTTCTCTGATGACATGTTTACTGGCACGAGGGCGGGACAACCTGTCACTCACATGAGATCCACCAATAGCAAACCACAACCATCAAACCATCCAATCAATTCCCCACGGACAAAATCAAGTCTCACCCTATATTTTTTCTTGTTCCAGAAGTGGTTTCACTCGGATATATGTCACAATAGGGAAGAAAAGACAATCACTCATGCAGTATAAAAGTAATTTTTCATGTTTACCTAAGTAATAATGATAGAAACATTCATTTTGTACAGATTTGGATGACGTACATTAGTCGTTGACTTTGTTGACTATATCTTTGGCATGGTTTGGGTACTCACCTAAACAAGCCTCTTTAATTTCTGTCTTGTCTGTCCTCTGTATAATCTTCACCACGAATATCACAGCCAACGGGGTGAGGAATGAAATTGCCTGTAAAGAAAAATGAACACAACATCCCTTTGCTGCATCCTATTTCACAAAGCCGACGTGATTATGGTAAAAAAAAAAAGAAAAGAAAAGAAGAAGCTGTTTTTCTATCCAAAAGCATATAATGGGCTAGATGAAATCAAAGTTTTTTTTTCCTGGCACTTCATGAATGTCTTTATATCTCGAGGTTATAAAAGCTCGTACAGTGTACACCCTCCACCTCCCACACAAAACTGCTCAAACTGTTAGATGTTTTTGTTACAATTACTGTATTTTAAAGACAATCCTGAAGGGTGAGATCATGCCTGTAAATGTTAAATCCACAGATTTGTGGCCCTTTACTATAAGTACTTTTAAGGTAATATATGAGTTTATATATCTTAAGTCTGAAAATGTCCCGATGCACTTCTCATCTGAAGGAAGAATATTAATTTTTGGAGCATTTTAATATATATTTCCCAATCTTTTTACTAAAAACCTTTTTCTTAAATGTTAGACAAATTGAGGGGGAAACAACACTGCCTTTTTGTATTGGACTTCTTTACTATTTATTTACTATTCTATATTATTATTATTGAGCCATCTTTTTACTCTAAGTTATCTACAGTACAGATATTACAGATATAATTTATATACAGATATATCTTACAATATAGTTTAACTAAAGGCACTAGTTTTCTGCAAAATGCCGTTTTCTAAACCAAGGAAATATTCAATTCAATTATTCAGTTAAACCATTTGGAAAAATGTTGATTATTGTTGAATTTAATTGTTCGTTTATTTATTGTTTTATTAAAGATATGTATGTATTTTGGGTCTCGTGTATCTAGTTGCACATGACTCTTTTCTATAATAATGTGTGGTGGGAACATCTGTTGCTGTGGAATTGTAATATATAAACAGTTCCTTTTGTTTTATGTGTTGTAGTGTATAACAAATGATATTGAAAAGAATTTGATAACGACTTTTAACACACACCAACACAAGTGGTTATTGAATAAGACCAGGAAGGAAAATAGGCAGACTCCTGGAGATAATAGCAAGACTTGTGTAATGACTATATTGGATGTTTTTATGAATATGATTATTGCTTTTTGTAATAATATGTGAGGGCAAGCCACTAGACACTGTTAGCAAATGGAATTACAGCCATGCACACCCTCAGCAGTGTTCATATCATATTGAACCCATCAAACTATTATGAAATCGGTGTAAAATAATGAAAATGTGCCTAGTGTGTGTCTGAAGCTCCTCTTCAGCAGTAATATGAAAGCCGTCTGGAAACTTAATGAACAATCATGCATCATGTTAAAATGTGTTCAGACGAGTTAAAGCAATCCAGCCTTACTGGAAAGCATGATTAAATTTGCCATAATATTTGTGCTGAATGGTGTGCACTTACAAACATGACTCTCTTCGGGATGTGGTCTGATTCCACCAGAGGGTTCTTGTAAAGCCATAGTTCTTCAGGTTGGATAACTCTTTCGAAAGGCTCCAGGAACTCTGTGAACCTAGACAGAAGAAGAGAGGATGAGACCGTACACTGCCTTCAGTTTTACAAAGCGTTACTATATAATGACCTGCAGGTGAGTTTGAGCAACCCTGAGGAACCCTACACATTTCAAAATAAAGTGTGTTCAACATAAAGTGTTCGGTGAGTGGTTTAGCATGGTCAAGTTGGTTTCAATGATCGTCACAGAGGACCAACAATAGAAGATAAAGTATCCAAGCCGTATTTACTTTATTTTTAACATAAGAGTGGTACACTGCTTGATATTGCAAACTGATATTTGTTATCATATTCTTTTAATTTGTGGTCATAACCACACTGGGGCGCGTACAACGATGTAACTCGATGCTTCACTTACCATAGTAACGTTAGGCTATGCATCGTTGAAGAAATCTAGTCACGACTGATTCCCGAAACTCTATTGTCGCAAATTGGTCGTTCAACCACGTTGGTTAATGACGTCACGCACGTGGTGGAGTAATAACTTATTTTAATGAAACTGTTTGAGATCGAATTAATGCTAGATGTTTTGAAATAAATTACAGACATGGCATCTGAGGACTATTTCTCATTTTTCTCAGATATTTTGCTTAATTTCCAGATTCAATCATAGGCTCGTTCTTACATAGTAGAGCACGTTCGCACATGCGCAGTCTTCAAAAACGGTGCTTTTTTTATTTTATTTTTTTAAAACGGTGCTTTAAATCTCTTGACAAACTCAAAGACGTAAATTACATTTGTATTCTAAATAAAAGACACAGGTTGCACTGAATGTCAGCTTGCTTATTTGGCTCAAGATCAGGATTTATTGAGTCCACATGCAATCTAGAAACTCTCTTTCTAACCACAGGTCGAGATCTGTCGTTCAAACACACAACTCTGCGATGCTGTTTGCGAATGTTCGTTGGAACGATGGTTTCGGGAAACAGACTCGTTGAACTATACTCATAACGACGGAACTTGCGACCATAGTTGGCTAACGATGCTTTCGGGAAACACCCCAGGTTGTTGTAGCAGAAAGTTTACTACACTTATACCTATAGTGGCTAATGAATTAGAAATCTGAACAATAAGGTGGATATTCCCAGGGAATGCATACACTGATTGGATTGATTAAAGGTATACCTTAAATTCAATGCAAGTTATTTTGGATAATAAAAACATCTGCCTAATGCAGCATAAATGTAACGTGTAAAATATCCAAACCATTATCCATAGAACAGCATAGGCCTACAGGTTTTAGACTCGCTGCAAATTTTAAAAAACAAGAGCACAGAGAATATATTGTGCCATATTTGCTCAGTTATTCACTTTAAACTGGTTGTGGAAATTTGATTTTTTTTTTTTTTTTTTTTTTTTGCTAACCGGTTCTGCAGGCGAAATGCAAGAGAGCATTGTGTGTGAATGGCCCTTAATTCAAACAAAATGAAATAAAACATGTATGACAATTTAGAAAATGTGTAGCAATACACTGAGCTTAGTTTGGTATTTGTCTTTGAGGACAACATTTTGAAAATATTTCTACATACTGATAGTCTCGCCCATAATTTGTCTGGATTTTGATAATAGTCAAAGCATGTGAGCCACAAACTCACTTCTAAAGAGTTTATTATGTACAGTATCTCTGCAAATATGCTGACTGTGACACTGGGACTTGTCTTAGTTTAACATATGCCTTTGTTTACCCTTTTATTCCAGGATATCTACATATACACAAACTGGGCATTAATAATATTATCTATTTCTCAGCCTTTACAGGTTTGTTGCCTTCTCATTCAAACTAGATAAGACCACTTCAATATATTTCAGATTACAATAAATTTAAATAACTTATATGGCAGGCATTATGAGGTGAACAGAAATTATTCATCATATCAGGCACACAGACAAATATGACAGACTGGGCTTTCTTTCCTTAGCTTTGTTTTGTTTTGGCTTCAAGATAGTAAAATGAGAAGCCATAATCCTCACGGGAGAACAGAAGCACTGAAGAGAGAAATATTATTCAGGTAGCATGAATTCAGAATTACTTGTTACTGGATATGTGTTTAATTATTCTGTCATAGTACAGTACAGTACAGTTAAAACAGGAAAACATATGTCATTCTATAGGCTAATGACTTGTGTAAAAGCTAATTAGAGTCAGAATTAAACTACCCTTAAGGAATGAGCCGAGATTGGAGGTGTCTGTAAGAGCCACTCTGCACTATATTTATATTTGAAAAAAACTCTGACATTTTTCAGTTTGCTATTCACAAGAACTGCTCTGCAATAGTATTCATAAAACAGTAGGTGAAAATGACCTGGATGACCTACTACTTCTGGTGGGATTCACAACCACTGGACATTTTACTATCCCATAAGGCCACAGGAGAGGATTTGTGAATGGAAGTGAAGCAACGCAACTGACGCTTGGTCACATGACAATGACAACATGCGGGAATTTTCTAATTTCATTCATGCTACACACACATTCATACTATATAGATATAGAACATACTTTTTTAACTGTCGGCCAAATGTAGTACCTACTATACCGTAAGCATGTGAGTTAAAGACCGATTGTCTGTGGAATGTGCTAACATGTCTACGACACATGATAAACCACTGAACAAGAATGATGTTCATGGGAGAACATCAAGGAGGAAAACATGATCTCCAGAAAAAAAAGAAAAAAAATACAGCTGCACACCCTGAGTGTGAAAAAGAGCAACTGCTACTGGCAAAAACATTTCTGGATATATGTGTCTGAAAATAAAACACAAAATGCTAAGTGTGGAGAAAAAGGCAGTATAGTGGAAGAGCCGTCGTGATTTGGGGCTGCTTTGTTGCCTCAGCTTGCTATCATTGACAGAAAAATTCATTTTCAAGTTGATCAGGACACATTGCAAGAATTTTCTGTCTTTGGCACGACGGATTCATTAATTCCTAGAATACTTCTGCTGCTAAACAAGTTTCTTTTAAAGGAATGGTGCAAAAATACTCAACACTTTTGCAGGTCTTTTGTGCAAGTACTGTACATAAAATGCTTGGTGGATGTTATGCAGCCAAAAGGTCAACCAGTTATTATATCCATTATATAATTTTTTTCACCCTTCACTGTGAATATTTGCACTATATGGTCAACAAGTACATCATTACTTGTATTATGTGTTCAAGCAGATTGCTGTTTGCATTTGTCAGTCTACTTTACATTAATAGCACATGTGAACACATTTACCATGAGTGAAATGTCTAGGTAGAATAATATGCAAATGTTGGACAGCTTAGATAAGTTTAATGTATATGGTAGTGTGTGCACTAACTTAGTAGTGTGTGGTTTAAATGCGGTGGACAAATACGAGTATGGGTTACCAAACTTGGCCTTCACATGTCACTTTCACTTTTTTTCACTTTTCAAAACGGCAGTAAATGGAATTTCATTTAAAAGAAATGTTTGAGTACATTTTCTATTTGTATTTGAATTCAGCACAGATTTTGGCTTTGCATAATTCAGTTTGTGAATTATTCGCTAGAATACTGCAGATGGTGTTTGAAAGATTTTATAAGAATAAAAAAAGAATTTCATTTTCAACTCTAAAATAAGTAATGCGAGTAATTAAATACACTTTAAATGGTTAATATGTATAAATAAATAAACAATAATAAAAATAATCCAACATTTTCTGATCTCTTCACGTTTGAAGCCTATCTAGACAACAACAACATGAATATACTTCCAGTGACAGTGTTACCAAAAAAGAATATGGGTCTTTTGCAGGTTGAAAGATAAGGCTCATAACTCTTCACTATAGGTAGGATATTTTTATCCAACAAAATGCTGTGGTATGTTTCTTGGGCTTTTCAAACTGCATTTACCTTGTATTGTCTCTTTAAAGACACTTTTGGGAGGCTATCCCTCATTGCAGTACCGAAGTCATACAATGTGGAACTATAGGCGGTCTTGGCCAAATATTTAGCAACAAATGACCAATTATAAATGAAACAGTGCTTGCCTCTAAAAATGTTCACATCCTTATACAGTCACAGAAAATGTTATGCCCCGTATTTCTTTCAGTTTGGGGGCAGAAAACATATTAAAGGAACATCCAATTTACTTGTATATGGTCCAAAAAGTAATTTCAGGACAAGCTGGATGGTACATTCATCTAGGTATAAGTGTGAATGACGCGCAAGTGCGAGACAAGCCGTTATTTATTTATGTTTTTCAAGGTGCATGAATGTGATAGCCAGTATCATGGGCTAAATGTCAAGCTATATTCATGATTAAAGGTGCTGTAAATGGTAACACTTTATTTTGATGATCCCCTTTGAACATTCTGTTGACTATAAGTAACTTTGCAACTATGTCAACTTATTCTTACCCTACCAGTCTATTAATACTTTAATAACAACGTGCAACGTTACTTAGGCTACTTATAATCAACAGAATGTGTTAAAGGGACCATCAAAATAAAGTGAAATCATGATTTTTATGCAATTGTATGCAGAAAATGATTCTACTCCCTTTAAAAATATCACTGAAAAAACTGTCTTGAGATCTCTGTGACAGCCTGTCACAATTATGCTCTTTATTGATCGTTGTGTATTTAAGTTCCTCTGTTCTCTGTTCATTTGTAGGTTCTCGTCGTGTGAGTGAAGTTTGGTTAATGTAATCTTCTGCCTGTGTCTGTATTCTGATTTATTTTAGTTTGTTAATAAAGAACTGTTTAAAATACATCATCTTCGTCGTGCCTGCTGATCAAAACCTCACCAGACCGTGACACTGCCCTGGTCTCTGTAAACAGTAATATAAAAAGTGTCAGATTGTTTGTTCAGCCAAACAGAATGTTTTTTTATTTCAGTCATTTGGCATGTTCACAGAGTGTCCTTCATATTCGTGAAGCCGGATGATGAGAGCATGATAAGTGAACTTGAGTTTGGACAGTGTGAAATGGGATGTGTATAATGCATGCATACAAGCTTTGAGGGTATGCCTCAAACACAGTGAATGCAAACGTG